TTTTTTGGCTGATATCGGACCGATATCCGATATTGATATCGGATCGGGACACCCCTAATAAACAGTCAATGTAAAGTACCTCATGAATGTTAAGATGTATTTAAATCAGTCAGCTGATCAATGTCAAAAAAGTGATTGGTTCAGACACACTCCTTCGTGTGTCTGGAGGATGACAGGTGCTGACTGACAGCTGCTCACGTGAACAGAATGTCTGTAATTGACACAGATTTTCCCTCATTTAGCTTTAGAGTAATCTAACGATTTTTATAAAAAATAAAAAACCTCAGCTTCAAATTAATTTTCCACCAGAGCCAATAGGACGATAAAAACAATAAAAATTAAATTTAAATTAAGTCAGGTAAAATTAGGAATAAGTCCCCCGCTCTTCTCCTCGTCCTCTCTCCCTCCTGCCTGCTCTGTTACCCGCGGCAGACGCACGCACGCACGCACACCCACCCACCGCGCGTGACAAACACGGACTGGATACACGCCCTGCGCGTGTATCCAAAGCTTTTGCTGTCCTACTGTTCCTATCTGGGAGGGGTCTGTGGGTCAGGGTCGTCTGAGGAGGAAGCAGATGAATGGAGTTGCGCATGGGAACTTTTATTTAAGATTTAAGTTTTTTATTTTATTTCAAAGCTCCTCATGGCTCGGCAGCAGAAGCATAAAAATTTCTGTTAAGAAAGCTGATGATAAAGTTGAATAAAAATCTAAGTCTGATTATCTAGTGATCTTGATGCAGAGTGGCTCTAATTCTTCACTTCACCATCTGTGTCGCAGTTTCACGTCTCCAAAATGAGCGTACGCATGGGTCAGAGCTGGCGTGAGGCACCGCACATTTTCACGTCAAGTTTGGATTTTATAAATCACAACCTTGGCGTAAAAAGTGGCGTACGCAAGTTTCTGGGCTCAAATTGTGCGTACGCCAGTTTTATAAATCTGAACCCTGGACTTTAAAAAAATTAACTGCAGTCACAGCTGTGTTCAAAACAGAGTGAAGATTTGGTTCAATGTCTTTGGAGGCCAGTGCTTGCCGATATGCAGCATGCAGTGAGTTGTAATAATCTTTGGATTGACAGACTTAATCCGCGCTGTAACGCCACTCTTTCTGCCAGTCATTGCAGCGGCGGCATCCGTACAAACAGCCACACATTTTCCCCAGCTAAGTTTAGTTTCAGTCATGAATGCATCCAAAAGTTTGAATATTTCCTCACCTGTCGTCCTGCCCAGGACCTCCTTACAGAATAGAAAATCTTCCAAAATACCTCCATCCCACGGGTAGCGCACCAAATCAATTAACTGAGCCGCACTAGAAATGTCCATGGATTCATCCAGCTGAATAGAAAACTGTTCACATGAATGAAGTCTATCCAGTAGCTGTGACTCTGTCAGCGGGAGAGGTTTTCAATTCTCCTCCAGTGTCATTTGAAAGTGGTACAACTTTAAGTTTATTAGCTGCATCTGTGCCTAGGACAGCTTCACACATTTCCACTGTTGCTGGAAGAACAAGTTCTTGTCCAATTGAGTGTGGCTTCTTACTTTTTACGATACTTTGAGCAACTAAAAATGAAGCACGCTGTGCTTTTTGTGAAGTTGTCAAGTTCACCATTCATGTTGTCTGTGTTGCAAGTAGTCATCCCTCTTTCGCAGAAAAAAATCTTTAGTTTTATCCTTTTAACTCTGTGTGCTTTGTAGTCAGGTGCCGCTTTAGCTTGACTGGCTTCATAGCTTCATTAGCTAGCATCTGAAGACACACGACACATTTTGGCCTCCCATCGTTGTTCTCGATGAAACCAAATTCAATATAACTTTCATCATATTTTCGAAGTTTAGATGGTTTGGAATTTGAAACGTTTGAAGCTGACAAATTTAAATACGCTTCCAAATGCTAAGCAGCAGAAAGAGCTGTGCGCCAAAAGAGTAAATTACCGTAATTCAGGTTGATGATGTGCGACCAATTTACGTCATGTCCAGAAGTTGTGCTAGACTTTTTGGCTGTTTTGACTGACGGGGTAAGAAAAAAATCCATCATGATCAATTTTTACCCGTCACTTCCTTTTTTTAAATGTTAATGGTTAAGCATTCATAGAATGTGACTTATTATGTTGGTTTTGCATTTCTGCCTTAGATGCGGTGCCTGCAGGATTTTATTTGAGAAAATCTCATCAGTGCACCTCACACAAATACAGTCCACATGAGCGATGCGCATGGTGCTGAAGAACAGCGAATCTGTCCCACACACTACCACACCAGGCCCGACGCACACAATGTGACGCACACACACTCTCGCTTTTGACTCAGTTATGTTAGAAAAAGTTAAAAAAAAAATAAAAAAACGTTTTTTAGTTTTAGTGGCTGCATTTTGCAACATTAATGACTCCTTATTTCGGTCTCTGCCTCCTTTGTAGGAGGACGAGAGAAGAGAGAAGGCATAAAGACAGAGACACAGTCAGCTGTTAACCACAATGCGCCGCTGCCACTGCGTTAAAAATATTAAATAAAAACAGGAGAACAATATGTATTTTATTTATGCAATAAAAAGTCTAATAATAAAAAAAAACTCTAAGGAAAATCTCCAGTTATGCACTGTATGTATCTGCAGTCGCCAGTAATCTCTGCTCTACTGCGACACTGTTAACAAGCACCACTTCAGCCAAAGTTTTAAAATCAGAAAACATTTCTCCAGTCGAAGTGATCAGAAGTCAACAAGACTTTATTTCCAAATCCCATAACTTGCTTTAGCAGGAGGAAATCTCAGTGTGCGCTCCCGCTGCGCCTCAGATGCGCTCCAAAACCTCCTTCKTCAATGCTCTGTCAGCTCCTGCATGGTGTTGATGATCAGATGGGAATCTTTTTATTTTTTAGATTAAATAAGACCTCCATGATGTAGCCCTACTCTGTGCATTAAACTGAAAATGTCTCGGAGTGCGTGTGATGCCACAGAGCTTGCAGTCATGTGACCCCCTCCCCCCCACTCAAATAATTTCGCGGACCCCAATTTGAGAACTACTGCTGTAGACTGACTCTCACTAGTCTTGATGCCCACAGATGATTAGATTAAGGTTGATGTCAGCTGAAACAGGAGTGGGGAAAATGTGGGTTTATCACAATCAGTATCATTGAAATATTAAATATCTTTCATGGAACGGTTTTTTAATGGTATGCAGCCCAAATTCTCTTTTCTCAACATTAGATGATCAAAGTTTTAAAGCACTGATAAAAGGCAATGAGTGTTATGAACTCTTTAGTGAATGCTAGATTGTCTACTTATTTGTCTGTGTGTTTTTTTTCTTTTTACAGCTTTAAAGATGCTCATAAAGTTATACATTTTGTAAACTAAGCCTAAAGTTTTGTATTACATCTCATAGATATAGCAGACAGACATTACCACAGTACAGGAATGTCTTCTAGGCCAGTAGGTGTTTTCACACACGTGGTCATTTAGTGAGACACCAAGCTGCAGCAGACCTGTAGGCTGTGAGGAAGAGTGGGAGGAAAAGGAGTTGTCAGTCACACCACAGACACCCCAGTCTAATTTAGATTTTAAGGATCAGCTTGACTAAAGCACTGGAACCATTCCAACACAAATTGAGACAGTTTTGCTTTTGAGATTATTTCTTTTCAGCTGCAAAACGTCCAAATATTTTAAACCATTAACAAATGTAAAAATCATTTTAGGGCATGTCACTGAAGGTGAAAGGCCAATAAATGTGAGTTTGTTTTGGAGAAAACCATCAGAACATAGTCATTGTTCTGTACATCTACAACTGAAAAGACAAAATATGACTCTTCAGTCAGTTTGACAGAAATTGAGCTAAAACTTGGTGTGGTTGTAGCTGAATATCATCACATACTCTATGAGCTAGAATATCTTGCAAAATTTCATATAATATAAAAAGATTTGACTAAAGGGGCTTCAGCTCCATTTTTTTCTTAATATAAGATGAACGTGTTGTAGACTCTTGTTTGAAAAGTAATACTAGAAAGCAGAAACCTTTTTTAATATAAGTTCACGCACAAAGTAACATTTTATTTCTACAGTTTTTTTTTTTCATCCATCACAGGTTTTGTTTTTTTGTGAAATGAGCAACACTGGTATACATGCATTTTGTACATACAAAATTTTGTTGTGTAGAAGTGTGCACAATTATGAAACATCTTGTGTGTAATGTTACCATGGAAGCAGCATTTGTGGCAGACTGAGATCCCACACTGTCATCTATGAGAGCTTTGTTGTGGTTAGAACAGGAATGTAGTTTTAGTTTTTAGAGTTAAAGGGGGTCTGGACACTGGGCTGAGTACCAGACAGGAGACAGTAATAAGCAATTTAGTTTTGTTTTTTGATTGTACAGTCAATAAATGCAATTTGACAACTAAACTCATTTAACTGTGAGGTTTCTTTTGTCAGGTGAATGTCCGGCATGGGCAAACCGTGTCCGATGTTCTAGATAAAGCACTCAAAGTGAGAGGTCTGAGCCAAGACTGCTGTGCTGTGTTTCGCCTACTAGAAGGGTAAGATTTCAATGCTGTCTAACCTCCCACATCAGTAACAAATAATCCTTATTGTCTGCATTGAAGACTGAGAAGCTGCAGTAAATATTGTCACAATAAATATTGTACATACAAACATTACAAAGCAGGAAAAATAAATGTTTTTGTGATAATACAATAATGCCATATTCTTAAAGGGATCCATGATTAGTTGTAACATTAGACTTTATTTGATGAACATATATTCTAACTGTAAAACAAAGACTAAAATACTGTAGGCTGTTTAGTGTTTATAATTTTTAAACTAAAAGTTAAAAAATATATTACACGGATGGGGCCATTTTATTTACACGCAAAGCATTCTGGGTAAATGACGTGGCTAGGTCCTTAGTGAAAGGCTGCTAGCGAGCTATATCCACCCTGAAGATTAATCTTGGACAATATCTGATGATTGTCTCTTTTTAAATGAAACCAGAGAGTGTTGACAGAGAGGAGAAGGTAGAAATGACTCAGCCTGTAACTGAAAATATAGATGGAGGACAACAGAAGTGCTTCATGGAAGAAGAACCCCAGCTTAGCCTGTTAGCTTTAGCATTAGCTCCGACGCTATCACCATATATATGTATTAGCTCAGCGCTACATATTCTCCTCTCGTCACTGAGGTCCTCCATCCACATGACAGAGAGGGGAACACAAAAATGACTCAGCCTGCAAATGAAAATATGGATGGAGGACCTCAGTGATGAGAGAAAAATGTTCAGCAACGCCGAGCTAATAAATATAAGGCAATAAAGTGTTGGCGCTAAAGCTAACAGGCTAAGCTGAGGTTCTTCTTTTTTTTAAAGTTTTTTGTCTTTATTACAAATACAAATTAAAAGAAACAAACTGACATCAGCACTTGAACAATATGTTCTACAAAGAACATGTAGCAAATGGAAATTAGAGAAGGTACATTATGATTATTGTCTTTTGGGTCAATCAAAAGTAAATTTTGAAGATGCATTCGTGAATTCTGCCTGTCTATTTGCAGTTAAMTTTAAAGCAAATCCTAAAGCATTAAATTAATTGTGAAGCACAGCAAACTCTTCATATTTCACTGGAAAACACTTCCCACAGCTATAAATATTACATTTATCTTCAAATAACTCTGCAACAAGTATTATACCACTATCAATCCAATAAGCTTTGCATGAAGTATAATCTTTTTTTAATAAATTTTATTTACAAAATAATATACAATCAAAAACAGTAATGAACACGAGGAGAGAGAGTAACAGGTATAAAAAAATGCAAAAAACAAAATAAACAGAAGACAGAAATAAAAGGTTATAACTTCAATTCTTCACATAATTTTTTTAGTTTTATAGCTTTGGGGTTAGTGCATATTTTCACTGAGTCCAAAAAACAGTTCCAATAGGCCTTAAAAACAGTGAGATTGGGCTTTTGTTTTGCAAATTTGCTGGCATGACTGTGGAATATGGGGAACATCAAATTTACTATTAAAAAACAAATTAAGGTCACACCAAAAGGTTTTACTAATTGTGCAGTCCCAGAAAAGATGGGTTAATGTTTCATTTTCATGATGACAAAAGGAACAAAGAGGATCAATATTTGGAATATATTCTAATTAGCCAGAGCTGAGTTTGTAGGATAATATCTGTGTAAAGTTTTAAATGAAATTTCCTGAACCTTATTCGAGACAAATAATTTTTTAGGCAGTAACCATGTCTTTTCCCAATCTACATTAACATACAGATTATTCCAATAAAATATAGAAGCAGATTTACTAATAATACTCTTTTGTATTATTTCTCTAATATGCTTATTTTTTGTTTTAATACTAAGGAATGGATCTGAGTTCCCAATAAATTATTCTGGAAATAGAGGATATTGTACATGAGATCAATCAGCAGAGGATATGAGGAATTTTAAACCTGCTGGGATGGCATCAAAAACGATAGCGAATACTTTTGGTTGACCTGATGGATAGCCCCTCATCAGAGCTAAACAACAAAAGAAATCTGAAGCTCCTATGTTTAATAGTTTTTGAGCAATAACCCTTTTCGTAAGTCCAGGCACCCCTTTTCAGAGAGGGGGGGGGGGCACTGATTGGTGGGCCTGATGGATAGAGCTTCATCAGAGCTAAACAACCAAAAAAAATCTGAAGCTCCTATGTTGAACAGTTTGAGTTACATGCATTTTTGCATGTCCAGACCCCACTTTTTCAGATAAATAAGATAATCTTACTGCAAGACAAAATWATAATAAAGTCATCAATCCTGTTCTTTTGAAGGGATCTCTGATTAGTTGTAACAGTAGACTTTATTTACTTTGGGGTGGCTGTGGCAGAGTGGTTAGGGGAGTTGTCCTGGAACCGGAAGGTCGCTGGCTCAATCCCCGTCCAGCTGTCTCAGTTGTGTCCTTGGGCAAGACACTTCACCCCTAATGCCTCTGATGTGTGTCCCATCAGTGTATGAATGTGATTGGCACTGATTAGTCTCCATAGTTGATTTGTACATGTTAGCTTTGTAGAGACCTAATAGAGTTGCTGTGTGAATGGATAAATGAGGACACGGATTGTAGTGTGAAGCGCTTTGAGTATCCTGGCTGGATAGAAAAGTGCTATATATTTACAGTCCAATTACAAACCATTTATAAAGTAAAATAAAATGTATTTACTTTTGTATGTTTTTATAATTTCAGTCGTAAGAGACTGACGGACTGGGACACTGACATCACACCTCTCGTTGGAGAGGAGCTTTTAGTCGAGGTGCTGGATGACATTCCTCTCACCATGCACAACTATGTAAGTAGTTGAAAAACACATGCAAGCACACAAGATGTTAAAGTGACACATTATTATATTGCCTTTTAAAAAAAAAAAACAAAACTGAGCTTTTTTTAAAACTGTCGCAAATGTAAATTTCATGACTTGCTTGTTTGTAGGTACGGAAAACGTTTTTCAAACTGGCGTACTGTGATTTTTGCCACAAGTTTCTTTTTAATGGCTTCAGATGTCAGACGTGTGGCTACAAATTTCACCAGCACTGCAGCAGCAAAGTTCCTACTGTGTGTGTTGACATGGATACTATGAGCAAACGGTAAGATAATTCACTCCTTTTTTTAATTAAACTTCCTAATGACCCTAAAGGTGAAATATGTACTTATGGTATGATATAATTTTAAGACTGACCAAAACATACAATTTAGGAGCAAAGAAAAAAACTTATCAACTTTATTTATAGAGAACTTTAAAATCTCAGAGGAGCAAAGTGCTGTACACATAATACAACATTTATTAGGGTTCCCATGGGTCCTTGAAATCCTTGAAAGTTTGTGAATTTGAAAYGAACAAACAAAAACAAAATTCAAGGTCTTGGAAAGTTTTTGAAAACATCAAAAAATTACTCTTGTCCTTGAAAGTCCTTGAATGGTGTTKGGGGATTAAAGTTCTCGATCCACATGACTGATTTTCATCATCATTTAAAAGAAAAACGACTTTTGTTGCAGTGGATAACTCAGGATTACGGTAAACTGATTTCCATTTTTGAACTACGCTTCTCCACAAACAGATACTGAAGTATGCGTTGTTGATGTCAGAGTGTTATTACCATGATGATAAATTTTCCATGTGCAGCCTGAGGTCAGATTTTCTTCACTGAAAATGATCACTGATCACTTTTATCACTGATGATGGGTGTTTGATAATCAACTATTGGCTGTTAAATACAGACTCTCTGACAATTTAAACAAATATCTATTTTAAATATAGTGCTGATATATCAGTATATAATGTATATCAACTGATTGTGGCAGTTTCCTCCTATGTCAGGTGACACTTGTTCTGACTTGAGGCTGTGCAGATGGAGAATTTATTACTTTAAATCCCCACGTTCTCGCTATACTGGACACTGGATTTCGCCAGGAAAATAAATTGTTTAAAGATCTTTTTCACACTGGTTCTAGCTTTAAGAAATATCACTTGTTGGGACAATAAGGACATGAAAGAAGTTAACCATGTTTCCATTCTCTGTGTGATAAATTTGTCTTCAGCTTTTAATTCCAGCTCAGTGGTTGCTGCTTAGATCTGGTTTATTTCTTGGTAAAAGCTTTGAGTAACTACTTGGTTTAAAACCAAAGTAATTACTGACTTTGTTTTATTTTTAGCTACAAACAGCTGGCTTTCAGTAGTACCAATAACAGAACAGATTGCCTTGTATGCACCACCTTGTTTAAAAAAAAAAGCAAAATGGCGATAATATTTGCACATGACTTAAGAAGTCACGTGCAAATATATCGCCAGTCCGCAGAAGTTGGGCAGATGAATAAAAAATTTTGTTTACCCACAAATCTTACTGTACTGGATAATAGAAGAGGAAATGCTGTATATATAATGTGCAAATATGTGTACATGTAAAATTGCACATTTAAAGGTTAGAATCTGCAGGATACATTGCATGTCAACAGGTCAGATGAGCAGCATTCTAGAGAGTCAAAGTTAATGGGATTACAGTTTGCTAAATGTATCATCTATCATACACACCAAGGCATCAGTTACAAAAATTAAACAAACAATTGTTCTTTCAACACATTTTTGTACATGGTTTCTTGACCTCCTCATTCAAACCAATTTCAAACTGTTAGATATTTCTTGGTATTGCTTTAGTCGTGGATGTTGGCCATTTTGAATAAGTCCTTTTTGCTCCCTGTCCTTTTCCAAATATTAACTCCTTTCCTTTCCAACAAACACTAGCTGTTTGAGGCAGAAGGCCACTCATCCTGTGCTTTGTTCTGCTGGAGGTTTCTTCCTGTTAAAGGGGAGTCATTCCTTTCCACAGTCACCAATGTGCTGCTTGGAATGGGAGAGAAAAGTCAACTTGATCTGTTGGCTTTCTTAGAACTCAATAATTGGCATTTTATAAAATCTGTTGTGAAATGATGCCTTGTAAGTGAAGAAAATTAAATGGAAACAAATTGCTACTAGAGACTTAAGAGATGTCTATACATAGTAGCAGTGGGTGCATATTGGGTGTGTCCAAAACAGCAGGACGGGTCCTCCGAAGGCCGCATTCGTCGGCCACATACGTCACAGCGCCGCGACGAAGGACGTCCAAAACCGAAGACTCCTCCGATGCGGCCGACAAATACGTCCTTCMTTTKSCCCGATTTGAAGGACAGGTCTGATGAATCCTTCCCGACCCAGCATATCCCATAATGCATTGCGGCCCGACCGGAGATTCTTTTTTTTTCTTGTAATGGCGGACGAAGCGAGAGTCGAAGCGATGGAGGAGTACAGTTTTAAATGTAAGTATATTAAAATCTGTCGGTAAAAAAATAGAAAATAAAAAGTGGCTGTATTGTTAGGCTTTAGTCCTTTGCATGTACATGTTTTAAAATAATACAGCATTTATCTCAGAAATATCGTGAATGAGCTTGTATGGCGGGTCCTTTACTTTTTCGTGTATTCCCGCTAACTAAGCTAGTTTTTAATTTTAGACTTTTTATTTGCTTTCTTTTAGGGTCCAAGGAGCAGACAGAAGCTTTTATAAAGCTGAGGGAAAAAAATGAGCACCTCTTCACGGGGTTTAAGAATTCAGCCGCTGTGGGATGGAGGTACAAGAATAAACATCATAATAGTAATTAAAATACTTATAACCTGTGATCTTAAATGGAGTATACTTTCAATGGAGTTCCTTTTGTGTTCTGCTATGAAAACTATTTTTACAAGAAGGGATTGACAGCTTACATGTTTCCTCTTCACTTATTTTTGTGTATGTTATAAGGACAATTCTGGAGAAGATGGGCCTGCAGGGTAAAGTCACCCCCCTGCAGGCCAAAAAGAAGTGGGACAACTTGAAAATATAAAGTATGCATATGAGAAGTGAAGAATTACAATTTTAACTGCACATGTTAATAAATGTCCATTTTAAAAGATGTTTGTTTCTTTTATTGTCAACTGTGATTTCTGATTTCCTCTGTGTTTAGGATTGCAAGTATCCAGGATCAGGAGAGGGAGTCAGGGGGAAGCCCACTGCTGCTACTTGGCCCTGGTTTGACCTTATGGATGAGGTGTTAGGACAGAGGCCTTCCATTACACCTCCTGTCCTAATTTCCTCCATCCCTGAGGACACTCCAGGGCCAAGTGCAGCAGTGGGTGACCAAGAGGAGATGGACGAGGAAGAAAGTCAGGGAGGAAGTCAGCCACCAACAGGGAGAAAGAGGCGAAGGGACAGGGACGATGAGCTGATGGACCTGATCAGAGAGGACATGAGAGCAGAGAGAAGCAGAGGAGAGAAGAGCACAGGAGAGCAGGGAGAGAATGGATAGACTGTTTTCAGTACTTGAAAGACTTGTTTCAAAATTTTTATTTAATTCTGTTATTGTTGTGTTCAATTATTGTTCTATTATTGTTTTATGCAGTTATTGTTCTATTGTTTTATGTAGTTATTGTGTTCCAAATAAATGAAATAAAAAACAGTAAATGAATATAACTCATTTTATTAACTTAACATTTTTTT